TCTTTCTTTCTTTCTTTCTTTCTTTCTTTCTTTCTTTCTTTCTTTCTCTCTCTCTCTTTCTCTCTCTTTCTCTCTCTCATACACATAGGCACAAATACACACTCACAAATATTTCATACATTTCTTTCAAAACTGTCCCACTTGCTTGTGCTTCTTTTTGAGCATTTTCCCTGTTCTTTTCTATTTAAAAAATCTTGCAAAGACCCTATTTGTTAACATCACTATTGCTAGTCCCCCTTTCCCCTCACCCCAGTGAAAACAGAAGGGGAAAAATCCTCCTTACAAATAAATCTAGTCAAGCAAAATGAATCTGCATAGTGGCCATGTCTAAAAATATATGTCTCTGCATCTTAAATCCATCAGGTCTCTGTCAGGAGATGAATACATATATGACATACTTCATTCTAAATCATCTGGAGACGCTGGAGTTGGTCACATTGATCAGAGTTCTTAAGTCTTTCAAAGTTGTTTTCCTTGTATAATTGTTCTCCCAGTTATGTTCCCTTTACTCTGTACCAGTTCATACTTCCTAGGATTCTCTGAAATCAGCTCTTTTATCCAAGGAAGGGAACCTGCAGCCTCGAGGCCACATGTGGCCCTCTAGGTCCTCAAGTTGGCCGTTTGACTGAATCTAAACTTCACAGAACAAATTCCCCACCCCCCTTAATAAAAGGATTTATTAAAACAAAACAAAAACAAAAGCAAAAACAAAAAAGGATTTCTTCTGTAAAATTTGGACTCAGTCAAAAGGCTGCACCCAAGGACCTAGCAGGCTACATGTGGCCTAGAGGTATATGAAACTGCATATCTATGTACAACTTGCTATTCCTTTCAAATATACAACAAAATTATCATGTAGATTTATTTCTTCCATTTTTTTTCTTCCCTCCCCCCTCTCAGCCTGGAGATGGCTACCATTAGACACAAATAGGGGTGTGTGTGTGTGCGTGTGTGTGTATACATACATGTAAAATTATTCCATACATACTTCTATTTATCAGTTCTTTCTCTGGATGCAGATAGACTCTTCATATGTCTTTTGTAGTTAATTTGGGTATTTATAATAGACAAAACAAGTTATTCATTCAAAGTCATTTTTAAAACAATATTGCTGTTACTGTGTATAATGTTCTCTTGCTTCTGCTCATTTCACTTTTCATTATTTTGTGCAAGTCTTTCCATGTTTTTCTAAAATTGTTGAGCTCATCATTTCTTATAGCACAATAGTATTCTATCACAATCCTATACCACCTGATGGGCATCCTTGCAATTTCCATTTCTTTGCCACCACAAAGAAAGAGGTTATAAACATTTTAGAACACATAGATTCTTTTCCTTTTTCCTTTATCATCTTTGGAAATAAATCAAGTGGAGATATTGCTGGGTTGAAAGGTATAGGCAGTTTAATAACTCTTTGGGCATAATTCCACATAGCTCTCCAAAATAGTTGGATCAGTTCACAATTTCACCAACAACAAATTGTTGAATCCACCAATGAATTCACCAGTTTTTCCACAGCCTCTCTAACATTTGTCACTTTCCTCTTCTATCATTTTAGCCAATCTGGTAGGTGTAAAATGATATCTCAAGGTTGTTTCAATCTATATTTCTTTAATCAATAATGATTTAGAGCATTTTTCATGTCTATTCATATCCTTTGACCATTTATCAATTATAAAATGACTCATATTCTTATAGACTTGACAAAATTCTTTATATATTTTAGATATGAGACCTTTATCTGATGAACTGTCTATAAATTTCCCCTCAAATTTCTGCTCTCCTTCTGATCTTGGTTACATTTGTTTTATTTGTACAAAAACCTTCATAGACTTTAGTTCTTTTGTTCTCTTTTAATTCCCTCCTTCAGGATCTGTAAGTTTGTTTTTCTTATGACTATTCTCTCCTTAATATTATCCTTTTGCTTTCCCCACCCTATTCTCCCCCATTCCCTCTTGTTTCTCTGTTGAATTTGATGTGTTTCTACTCCAAATTCTTTTTCCCCACTTAATAGTATTGTATTTTTTCCAACTGCATGTAAAGATAGTTTTCAACATTCACTTTTATAAGATTTTGAATTCTAATTTTTCTCCCTCCTTCTCTCTCCTCTCCCCTCCCCAAGATGGAAAGCAATCTTATATAGGTTAAACATGTACGACCATATTAAACATATTTCCACATTAGTCACATTGTAAAAGAAGAATCAGAACAAAAGGGAAAAACCACTCTACTCCAGATTCTTAAAGCCTGTGTGTGTCTGTATGTGTTAAACCCTCTTTGGCCTAGTTAAGATCAGAAGGAGGTTCTTTGGAGGCCTACCCTCCTCACCCCTACTTCCATGTTCACATCCCCTTCTCATGTATCCCAATTATGAGAAATAGCAAGTTTCACCCTCTTCTTCCTCCTTTCTACACGTGTATCTATCTAGAACAATTTTTGGTATTTGTTTCTCAGAATTAGGACCCCCTGTATCTTTGAGGTTGAGCACTGGGTCTTCAACTTTGCCACCTCCTACCCCATGGTGTCTCAGAGCAGAGTAGCCTCCTGGACCTTTCCCAGTCGGAGTCTTGCTGTACTACTCACTGCTTTTCCTTGAGGTTCAGTGTCAGATCACTCTGGGGACTCCTGATTCCTATTTTCGTTTTCTGAATCCCCTGAGAATTTCTCAAGGGATCCCTGTGCTTTTGAGCCTCGGGACACACAGTCCTATAGGCTCCAAGTTTCTGGCTCAACTTGGAGTGCTCTGGGAAGCTGACAATTTGCTTGCCTGTGCTGACAGGGGCTTTCCTGGTAGCCCCTTTTCCTATTGCTTTTGGGCTCCTGACTGGTTTTTTTATGCCATTCTGGGGATAGAAGAACTCAGTCATTATAGTTTCTCATTAAATTTCTTTATTATTTTTCAGTCTAGTACAAATTTTGGATTTTTGCTGGAATAGATGTGTGGGAGCAGAGCTGTCTGCCTCCATTCAGGCAGCTATCTTAGCCAAAAGTCTGCAATCTCTTGTCTTTTTTTTTCCTTTAAAAAGTTCAATTTTCTTTTCTTTTCAGATCCACATTATCTCCTACATCTCCTCCATCCCACTGAGAAAGCAATTAAAACAAAACTCATTACAAACATGTCTACTCATGCAAAACAAATTCCCAAATTAGCCTCATCCATATGTATATGTTTTTGTGTGCATGTATGTATGTCTCAGTCTGAATTCTGAGTCCATCAGCTTTATCTGGAGGTGCATACTATGTTTCATCATGAGTACTCTTTGATTGTGGTTGGTCATTGCATTGATCAGAGTTCCTAAGTCTTTAAAAGTTTTGTCTTTACAATGTTATTGTTATTGTATAATTGTTTTCCTGGTTCCATTCATTTCATTTTGCATCAGTTCATACAAATCTTCTCAGGTTTTTCTGAAACCATCCCTGAAATCTATTTTCAATTTTTTGATAATAGCTTCTTCAGAAGATTATCTTTTCTTGTCCAATTCTCCCTATCCAACTCTACAGTGGAATTAATAACACCCTCAGGAGTTCAGGAGAAGAAATTTTCTACTGATAGGTTCTCTATAGAGAAATGACAAGGAATATCCTTATAGGAATTTCTATCCCTCTAAATCACTTTCTGGAAAACCCAGATAAATAATGATAAGTGGGCCAATAGAATAATAGATGGAAAGTGTTCAAATAAATCAAGGAAGGAGACCAGGATGTGAGTTTAAACATTAGGAAGAATTTCCTTAAAGGATTCTGAGGTACCAAAATGGTATGCTAAAGGGTGTTATGGAAGTTCCTTTGGGTTTTGTTTCTAGGTAGATAGAAATATAAAGGTAATTACCCTTGTAAAGGAGTTAACCCTAATGAATTTAAGGGATTAATTTGTTGGAATCCCCAAATCTTCAAATTTCAGGAACAAAAAGGCCCTTAGAGATAATAAAGTCCAACCCTTGCCAGCTAATCAATGGCAGAGCCAAGATTGGACCCAGATCTCTTGACTCCTATATAGCACAATGTACCTCATGAACTTCTTTAACCAGGAGTCACAAAACCTGGGGTTTGTCTTGTCTCTGCCACTAACTAGTTATATGGCTTTAGACAAGTGACTTACTATCATAAGTTAGAGCTGAAAAGGTCTTAGAGATCCTTTAATCTAATCTTCATTTTACGGATGAGGAGACTGAGATATATTAAATTGCTTTGCAACACTGACTGCTGAGACCAAGGCTCTTTGGGAAGAGACATGAGAGTCAGGGATGGGGTAATTGTGGAGGAGGTTCAGGGAAGGAGTGAGGTCTCAGAAGGGTTGGAGTCAGTGATAGAGGAGCAGAGGTAAACACTAACCTTGGTGATGTCATGGTTTAGGGGAGGGCCTGGTCTTTGGCCAGGCTCTTTCTGTGTATAGTCACCACAGATAATTAGGAGTCGGTTGTAGTGTTAAAAATAAGAAACAAATGGGCAGCTAGGTGGTGCAGTGGATAGCGCTCTGGCCTTGGAGTCAGGAGGACCTGAGTTCAAATCCAGTCTCAGACCCATGACACTTGCTAGCTGTGTGACCCTAGGCAAGTCACTTAACTCTGATTGCCTCACCAAAAAAAAAAAAAAGAAACAAAGGAAATAATGATCAAAGCAAAGTGCCCTAGTGCTTACCTTAAGATAATTGTCAAGGGGAAACCTAGGAGTTGTGACTCTTAACTTCCTACCCCTATGGGATATTTTATACCTGCAGGTAATGTATTTCGAAACTGTACTCAAGATGGCTGGTCTGAAACCTTCCTCAGAACTGATACTGCCTGTGGGTATGATGTGAATGACACCAGCAATGATGAGCGGGTAAGTGAGGCATTCAGCACCATGGACTAAGGATCTGCTATACAGTATAAGGCCAGTAATGAGACCATTAGGGCTAGGGAGAGACAGAGCAGGAGGATGGAACTAACAGTGGGATAGAAATCAGAATCCGTATTAACAGTATTAACCTTACCTATCTCTCACTCTAGGGTTATTCTCTGGACTAGATGACATAATAGATGTAAAAGTAACTATTAAAGACAAGAAACAAAGGGGCAGCTAGGTGGCGCAATGATTAGAGCACCAGCCTTGAAGTCAGGAGTTCCTGAGTTCAAATTCGGCTCTAAACAAATTCTAAAGCAGCAGAACCCACAAAAAGATAAAGTGAAACAAATTTCCAGCCAAAGATAGCCTGAATGGTTGATCAGAAAGGCATATCGTGCTGGGTAGGGAGAGGAGCGTAGCTCGGCTTGGGCGCTCAGGCCGCAGCAAACCTGGAGCAGGGCTCAGAGGACTGAATTGCGGGCAGCTGTGGTGGTTTCCAGACTTCTCAACCCACGAAGCCAAAGACAACCTAGAACGTCAGTGGGAAAAGTCTGTGACTGCGGTGAGAGAAGGAGCTAGGTCTCAGCCACCCCTGGGGCCACAGCTGTTTCCTGAGCTTCCGGCCCACAGACTGAGGGGGAATTGAGTGGCTGATCAGAGGGAGATTGCAGGGATCTCTTTGCCAGTGCTGAGGCAGGAATCTCTTGCTTTGCACGTGCTTGGATCTGGGTCACAGTTCTGAGGGGCAGTCCTGGAGCAAGAAGGAGCATTGGTGCGGTGGAGCTTGTTGTGGTGGTGGAGAGAAAACACCTTGTCCCTTTTCGTAGCACCTTGGAAGAACTGAAAATTTTCAGGTCCCTAGAAGTATCTCTGAACACAGCTGCACAAAACCCCCAAAGCTTGGGACAATACATTCTCTACATTTGAAGCAGACTCTTACCTTAACAAAGAGTTTAAAACTCAAGTAATTGGCTGGGATCATGAGCAAACCTCGCAAAAAGAGTGAGATTATATTATCTTACTTTGGTGACAAAGAAGATCAAAACATACAACCAGAAGAAGACGACAAAGCCAAAGCTTCTACATCCAAAGCCTCCAAGAAGAATATGAATCAGTCCCAGGCCTTGGAAGAGCTCAAAAGGGATTTTGAGAAGCAAGTAAGAGAAGTAGAGGAAAAACTGAGAGTTTTGCAAGAAAATCATGAGAAACAAGTCAACAGCTTACTAAAGAAGACTCAAAAAAATAGTGAAGAAAATAACACCTTAAAAAATAGCCTAACCCAAATGGCAGAAGAGGTCCAAAAAGCCAATGAGAAGAAGAATGCCCTAAAAAGCAAAATTGGCCAAATGGAAAAGGAAGTCCAAAAGATTACTGAAGAAAATACTTCCTTAAAAATTAGAATAGAGCATTTGGAAGCTAGTGACTTTATGAGAAATCAAGACACTGTAAAACAAATCCAAAAGAATGAAAAATTAGAAAACAATGTGAAATATCTCATTGGAAAAACAGCTGACCTGGAAAATAGATCCAGGAGAGATCATTTAAAAATTATTGGACTATCTGAAAGCCATGATCAAAAAAAGAGCCTAGACATCATCTTTCAAGAAATTGTCCAGGAAAACTGCCTTGATATTTTAGAACCAGAGGGCAAAATAGAAATTGAAAGAATCCACCGATCTCCTCCTGAAAGAGATCCTCAAAGGAAAACTCCTAGGAATATTGTAGTCAAATTCCAGAGTTCCCAGGTCAAGGAGAAAATATTACAAGCGGCCAGAAAGAAACAATTCAAGTATTGTGGAAGCACAATCAGGATAACACAAGATTTAGCTGCTTCTACATTAAGGGACTGCAGGGCATGGAATATGATATTCCAGAGGGCAAAGGAGATAGGATTACAACCAAGAATCACCTACCCAGCAAAACTGAGTATAATCCCCTTCAGGGGAAAAAATAGTCATTCAGTGAAATAGAGGACTTTCAAGCGTTCTTGATGAAAAGACCAGAGCTGAATAGAAAATTTGATTTTCAAATACAACACTCAAGTGGAATATGGGTGGAACATGAAGAGGTAAACAGGAAAGAGAAAATCGTAAGAGACTTATTAAGATTGAATTGGTTATATTCCTGCATGGAAAGATGATATTTGTAACTCATAAGACATTTGTCAGTATTAGGGTAGTTGGAGGGGAAAAAAATTATATGTACATATATATAGATAGATAGATAGAGGGCACAGGGTGAGTTGAAAATGAAGGAGTCATATCTGGAGAATAAAATTAAGGGGTGAGAGAGGATTATACTAGGAGAAGGAGAAAGGGAGAGGTAGAATGGGGTAAATTATCTCAAAAAAAAACAACAGAAATGAAAAGGCTCTTACAGTGGAGGGAAAACAGGGAAAGGTGAGAGGGAATGAGTGAATCTTATTCTCATAGATGTTGACTTAAGGAGGGAATAACATACACACTCTATTGGGTATGGAAATCTGTCTTACCCTACAGGAAAATGGAGGAGGGGGAAGGGGACAAGAGAGTAGGGGGATGATAGAGAGGAGGGCAGACTGGGAAAGGGGGTAATCAGAAGCAAGTACTTCTGAGGAGGGACAGGGTCAAAAGAAAGAGTAGAATAAATGGGGGGGTGGGATAGGATTAAGGGAAATAAAGTTAGTATTTCACAGCATGTCTACTATGGAAGTGTTTTGCATAACTGCACATATATAACCTATATTTAGTTGCTTGCCTTATCAATGGGGGTGGGTGGGGAGGGAGGAAGGGAGAAAATTTGAAACCCGGAGTTTTAAAAACACATGTTTAAAAAAAATGTTTTCACATGGAACTGGGAAATAATAAATACGGGAAATGGGGTACAGAAATCCATCCTGCCCTATAGGAAAATTGAAGGGAAAGGGGATGAGAGAAGGGATGGAGAGATAGAAGGGAAGGCAGACTAGGGGAAGGGGTATTCAGAATGCATGCCATATAGGGGTGGGGGGAGGGGTGAGATGGGATGAAAATTTGGAACCCAAAATCTTGTGGAAGTAAATGTTGAAAACAAAATAATAAATAAAAATTACCATTAAAAAAAAAAAGAAAGTATTACTGGGGATGAGACAAGAGGCCTGCTTCCAAATATACCCTCATCCTCAGTACTTAATGATGGAGGAGCCACCTCATTTTCTTCAGCTTAATCCTGCAAGGGATATATCATAGAATGATCTTTTTCTGTTCAACATTTTATCAGTGACTTAAATGAAGAGGTAGAAGGAGTGCTTATCAAATGTACAGTTAATTTACCTTGGAGAAATTTTTTTTCAGGTGAGTTAAAACTAATAATGGGAAGCTAGGTGGTGCAGTGAATAGAACACTGGGTTTGGAATCAGAAAGACTCATCTTCAAAAGTTCAAATCTGGTCTCAGATACTTACTAGCTGTTGATACTGGGCAAGTCACTTAACCCTGTTTGTCTCCATTTCCTCATTTGTAAAATGACTGGAGAAGGAAATGGCAAACCACTCCAATATCTTTGCCAAGAAAGCCCCAAAATGGGGTCACGAAGAGTCAGACACAACTGAAATGACTGAACAATAAACAATAGACTGGACTTCCTCATGGAGCCATGATCTCCCCATCACTGGAAATATTCAAGCTGAAAATGGATCCCATCTGTCAGGGATATAGTAGTGGGGGGGGGGGTGGAGGTTCTGATTATGTGGGAGATTAGACATGTTGCCCTCTGAAGATCCTTCTAAGAATTCTGTGGTTCTGTGACTTGGAGTTTGGGGAAGGACAGGAGTAGTCAGGGAAGACTTCCTGGAAAAGGTGGATTTTGAAAGAGGGGAAGGAGCATGGGATGGAAAAACAGGCAGGAAGAAGTTGTTTCAGGTAATAGGAATGGGGCTCACTTCTGTTTGTTTCTCCTTTCAGTATTCCTCCTTATTGAAGCTGAAAGTCTTGTACACTGTGGGCTACAGCATCTCCTTGGTGATGCTCTTCATTGCTCTGGGAATTCTCATTGCCTTCAGGTGAGGAGACACGGCCAATCTTCAACTTCTGGCAGCCTTCGGTGGGCACTGACCTTGGGCTGATTAAAAAAAAAAAAGCAATCTCATTCTTGATGCTTTTTTCCTTTCCTATCACAGATATATCTCAATATCCCTCCTACTGCTGCTACATAAAACCCTCCTTTGTCACAAAGAAAAGCAAAGCCTGTTGATATAGTGGAACAGAGTCCTGAGTTTAGGGCCAGAGGATATGGCTAGTCCTGGCTCTGCCACTCACTACTTCTGTGACCTCGGCAAAATCACTTAACCTTCCCTGGCCTCAGTTTCCCTATTTGTAAAATGAGGGGGTTGGGCTAGATGATTTCTAAGGTCCTTTCTAAAACTATGAAAACCAACCAAAAACATTGATTTCATTTGACAGAAGTAATTTCCCCATATCTTATCACTAGGCAATCACTACTAATTGTTACCCTTAACCTGAGTTCAGCTGCCTTAGTGTTGTTTTCATTTCTATTACTATAGTTTCTGTTTACATCGTTTTCCTAGTTCTGCTTACCTCCCACTGGCTCCTCATGTTTCTCTGAATTCCTCATAGCCATTGTTTCTTATGGCCCAGTAGTACTCCATTACATTCACTTTAACTTGTTCAGACATTCCCCAACTGATGGGTACTCACCTTATTTCCAAGTTTTTTGCTACTACAAAAAGTGCTGCTTTAAATATTTTGGTAAGTATCGGACCTTCCTGTCTCGAACAAAGTTAGTGATACATGCTCCCCTCAGCAGGTTTGCCCAGTCAAAGGAAAGGACAGTTAGGTAACTTTCCTAATGTAATTCTAAATTGTTTTCTGGAATGGGTGGGCACAATTTTACCTTCACCAACAATGCATTACTGTGTCTTTTTTGAGAAGCTGCTTTAAGAGTTAGGGGGTGGAGGGTGAAGGGGGTAGGAGAGTGGGAGGAGTGGGAAGGGGGGTCTGGGAGGGGAGAGAGAGAAAGAGAGAGAGAGAGAGAGAGAGAGAGAGAGAGAGAGAGAGAGAGAGAGAGAGAGAGAGAGAGAGAGAGAGAGAAAGAGAGAGAGAGAGAGACTAGTTGGGCTACACAGTTGTCTCTTAATTGCCCATATGGAGCTTTGTGTGATATCTTTAACAAATATTTAATTACAAATTGGCTTCTCCCTGCCATTCAAATCCCTTCCAGCCACCAACTCACTTGAATGTTGAAGGAAGCTAATTTAAATCAGGAAGGAAAAATCTGCTTTACCCCCAACAAGTTATTTAATGGCCTCTGTCTGAATCTGAATAGAATTTTCCTCCTGTTTTATATTAGTCAAGTTGTGGATGGCCTCTTTCCCTCCTCATTTTGTAATGGTAATCAGCAAATGGAAGAATCAGAATACATTTGCTTTGGTTGTAAGAGATCTCTAGAGCTCAGAAGGCCTTTCCTTTAATGAACATTCAGGAAGAGAGCTTTCCCTTTGATCAATCTAGGACATGGTTCCTTTACTCAGTTACCTTACAATCTTCTTTTCTAAAGTCTGGGTAGGAACAATGATTCTGGGGATGGATGGGAGATCCTGGGATTCCTGAAGGGCCTCAGAGTCATATATAGTCATATACATCATAAGATCAGTCCCTCAGAATACCACTTTTCTCCTTGAGGTTCTCTTCTCTCATTTCTTTCCTGTTTCCAGATTCAGACCAGAGGAGTTTGGTGTTAGAACCTTGGCCTTGGGAAACAGGATACTTGGGTTTTAGCCCCAGATCCAACTGACTCATTATATGATCTTGAAAGGTCATTTGCTCTCCTTGGGCCACGGTGGTGTTTTTTTTGTTTGTTTGTTTGTTTTGTTTTGTTTTTGTTTTTGTGAGGCAGTTGGGGTTGAGTGATTGCCCAGAGTCACACAGCCAGGGAATATTATGTGTCTGTGGCTGGATTTGAACTCAGCTCCTCCTGACTCCAGGGTCGGTGCTCTATCCACTGCACCACCTAGCTGCCCCATGGGGCCACAGTTTTGCCACCTTTCAAATTGGGAAAATAATCTCTGTCTCCCCCTCCCCCCCCAACTAGGCAGAAAATAAAAGATATCAAAGCACTTTAGACTTTTAAGGGAGAGAAATGATATATAAATTAGGAGTTATAGTACTGTTGGAATAAACCAGGGTTTGCTAGTTGACTCTCACTAGCATCTTTTTTTATGGAAGCAGCATGGAGAAAGAGGAAAGAACATAGTACTGGGAGTCGGGTGTCCTTGGTTATTCCGCTAAATAACTCCTTGACCTCAGACAAATCATTTCCCCTCTTTGGGCCTCAATTTCCTCCTCTATAAAATGAGAAAGTTGGATTTGGTAGTGTCTATGTTTCCTTCCAGCCCTAAGAGTTGATTTCCTCTATCACAGGAAACTCCACTGTACCCGCAACTACATCCACATGCACCTGTTTGTGTCCTTTATCCTGAGGGCCTTGTCCAACCTCATCAAAGATGCAGTGCTGTTCTCCTCCAATGACATTGCCTACTGTGATGAACATACGGTAAACCAATGGAGTTCTGGCTTGTGTCTGAAGGAAGGACTGGCCCCTGAAAGGGACAGAGGCCTACATCAATGATGCCAAACTCAAATAGAAATGGGGGATATCAAGCCATATATAAGGAACCTTGCAGGCTGTGCATTAACTTAGAAAACTATACATTAATATTATCTATGTTTTATTGTATTTTTATTTGTTTTGTTAAATATTTTAATCTGGTTTGGACTGCACCCAGGAATGTTGGATGTGGCCTAAGAATGGTATGTTTGACACTTCTGGCCTGCAAGACCAAAATATGAAATAAAAGCAAAGGATAATTTGATAATCCGCTAATCCCTCTTCCTCAGTTCAACTCTTATCTTCCTGGACCCTAATTTTTTTGAAATCTTACTGTATCAAAATGGCTCTGTTGCCAAATTCCCAAATTTTATATTTTACTATTCATATCTACTTCCAGGGAATATTCTGCTCCATCCCCACTAAGCCAAGCACTCATAGTTGGTAAACAAGTCAGGTCCTCCATGTGCCTACGGGCACATGGAATAACTATTAGTCCTCTGTCTTTCAAATTCACTGACCTGAGTTCAAGTCCATGAGATCCAATCCTTCTTTCTTTCCATTTCATTCTGGACTTTCTTGATCCTTTGCCTATTTTCCTTTATAAAATGCGATAATGTAAATAAAGTACTTTGCAAATTTTAAGTGGTACTTAAATATGAATAATGATTATAATTATTATTATTCTCAGACTTATAAAAGATAAAATCTAGAGGTTTTTAACCCCAACACTGACATTCCAAAGTTTATTGTTAACACAATTTTCTGAGAAAAGATGAAAGAAAATACTGATTTGCCTCAAGGTTTTTGTTTGTTTGTTTTTGAAAAATTGTTCAAAACATACCCCTGATCCTAACACTCACTCATTCCCCCCCAACGTTGATCATATGCCCATGTAGTTTAACAGATATATGAATCTGCACTGATCTCTTTATTTTTCTTACCTATTATTGTTAGTCCTTTTCACATATGCTTGTCCTGAGGCCCCTGTGAGACTAGAAGTTTCTTGGGGATGAGGATTGGCCTCTCTTATCAACTGGGGACTCCTCTAGGGTCAGGACTATGTTGTCCCTACTAGTTAGACAGTTCCCTGAGCAAAAGCCACTCAGAATGGTAGAGGAAAAAGCACTGAACTGATCTGTATTCCATAGCTCTGCCTTTACCTGTGAGACATTGGTCAGGGGTGGGGTCAGGGGGCCACATGTGGCCTTCTAGGTCCTTGGGTGTGGCCTTTTGACTGAGTCCAAGTTTTACAGAACAAATCCTTTTATTAAGGGGATTTGTTCTGTGAAGTTTGGATTCAGTCAAAGGGCTGCACTTGAGAACCTAGAGGGCCACATGTGGCCCCTGTTATTACTTTCCCTCCCCAGGGGAACCGTGCATTTTCCTGTATCTGCAAAGTGACTTAGTTGTAATCAATTATCCCTAACCAAATCAATATTTCCTTTCATCTTTCTCCTATTTCCCTTCTAGTTCTCTCATTCCATGGTTCTGTGATTCTTTATCTTCTCACTCTGTAGCTAACGAGCTTCCACATACAGTTCTTGGTCTGACAGTGGGGTTATTGGGTTTATGGGAAGTCTACACTCCAGAACTCTTTTCTACCCTGGTCTTTCCACCAATGAGAATTTGACAGAAGAGTAGATAAGGTCCAGAAGAGACCCAGACTCCATCTAGAGCTGGACCAGCCTCTCTGCCATGACTTCCTTCACTTGGCAATGGCTCAACTTGTCTTTATGTCTCCTCAGGTTGGCTGTAAAACCCTCATGACCTTCTTTCAGTACTGTATCTTGACCAACTACAGCTGGCTGCTGGTAGAAGGCCTCTATCTGCATACCCTTCTGGTCATCTCCTTCTTCTCAGAAAAGAAGGTTCTCCAATACTTTATCATCTTTGGATGGGGTATGTTTCCCTGCAACAATAAAATGTCAGCCAGGTGGTTGAATGAAAATAGCACTGGCCTAGAAGTCAGGAGATCCTGGTTCTAGTCTCAGCTCTGTTGCTAACCACCTAGGTGATCTTAGGAAGTCAATTAATGTCTATGAGCCTCAGTTTCCCCATCTGTAAAAGGAGGAGATTGGACTTGTCAATCTCTAAGGCCTATACTAGCTCAGAGATTCTATAACTTTTTCTCCAGACTTTCAGAGCCAGTTGCAATTGACCTCCTCAAACACGTTCGCACTGTTCTTTCATGCAAAATTTCATCTAAATTCTAATGAAATTCTAAATTCAGTGAATGTTTATTAACATTTCCTATGTGCAAAACATTTACTAGATGCTGAGAGAGATACAAAGTTTAGCTAGGACATGGTCACTTCCTTCATGGACTGACACTTTAGGAGGGAAATAGACACACTCACAAATAAATACAATACAGAATAGTGCATGATAAATGAATAAGGGAGGTACAAAGTGCTCTGTGAGGTTTACAGTAGGGATGGTCATTACTGACTTGGAAGGGTCAGGGAAGATTTCTTGGAAGAGGTGGCATTTGAATTGAACTTTAAAGGACCAGGAGGAATTCAACATCCAAAGAGTGGAGAAAACATTCTGAGAAATGTGAAATCATGCAAACAAAGGTTTGCAGGCAGAAAAGTGTGAGACATGTATGAGGATGGCAAGGAATCCATTTTGTTTGGAGTGCAGAATATATGGAGGAACAATATAATAATATAATCAGTCAACCAACAAGCATTTATTAAGTGCCTACTATGTGCCAGGTACTATGCTTAGCATTGAGGATTATGAAGAAAGGCATGAGACAGTCCCTGTCTTCAGCGAGCTCAAATTCTCATTGGGAGAGACAACATGCAAAAAATTGAGGCCCTGCTTGCCTCACATTGTTAGAGGAGCATATAAAATTATGGGCAGCTAGGTGGCACAGTGGATAGAGTGCTGGGCCTGGAGGCATGAAGACTCCTCTTCCAGAGTTCAAATCTGGCCTCAGACACTTATTAGCTGTGTGACCCCGGGCAAGTCACTTAACCCTCTTTGCCTCAATTTCCTTACCTGTAAAATGAGCTGAAGAAGGAAATGGCAAACCACTTCTGTATCTTTGCCAAGAAAACCCCCAATGGGGTTACAGAATCAGACATGACTGAACAACAAAGTTATGCACATGAATGCTTCAAAAAATATAAAGTGCCATATCCAATTCAATAAACAGTTATTAAGCACCTACTATGTGCCAGGCACTGTGCTAAACCCTGGAGATACAGATATAAAAAAAACCAGTCCCTACCCTCAAGAAGCTTACAATCTAATGAGGAAAGACAAAATATAATGGGAAGCTGAAAAGGGGGTGGGGTGGAGAAGTAAGTCAGAGAAGTCCCAAAGTAGTACAACCAATGACCCCATCACTCATAGTTGTTAGTTCTGATATTCAGTTGTGTTTTCATGCATGGGGAAGAAGTTGTGCCAAACCAGGCAATAATCTTTCCCCAAATCCCTGGATTCCTATTCAGAATAGCTGTCCAGGACAGGTGGTGGGATTTGATGGGGGTAAGAGAAGGGATATGGAGGGCGTAATACAACTGTGACAATAGGAAAGCAGCCTGTTATAGTGGAAAGAGTTGGCTCTGGAGTCAGAGGCCTTTGGTTTAAATGCCACCTTTGAGGCTTATTACCGTGGTGAACTTGGGCAAGTTATAGCCTTCTGGCCTCAATTTCCTCATTTATAAAATGAAGAGGCTGGACTGCATGACCTCGGATCCCTAGATCCCATCTATCAGGATCTATAATCCACCCAAAGTTTGGTGGTCCCTATGGGGGTCAAACCCAAGGGAGTTAGCTTTGTATAGTGGGAAAAATGCTGGATCTGGATTCCAAAGATCTGGATTTGAATCCTGGATCTGCTAATTACTCCCTGTGTGACCTTGGGAAAATCACTTAACAGGACTGACCTTAGTTTTACCTGGTTACAAAGTGAGAGCATTGGACTAAATAGGCTCTAAGATTCCTTAAAGTTTCATGTTCTATTATAATATTTACAAATCTTATATATTATAAAATTATAATATTACATATAATGTCAGTAATTTTGGCCTTGATAGTGCCAAGTTCTGACTCAGAAGGCTTAGCTCCCTACACTGTTTAACATTCCTCTCCAATCCACACTAGCAGAGAAATCCTGACTGTCCAAGGGGCCCCAAACCTCTCCCTTCATCAAACATCTATCAACCAATCGATAAACATTTATTAATTCCTTACTATGGGCAGGCACTAGGGATCCTTCTAGGACTGGTCCAGGTTTTAAAAGAACTCCTGCCCCTAGCAGGGCATAATGGGAGGGCAGATCCCTCAAACCCTCCATTCAAGCTGTTAGGACAGTTCAATAATCTATGAAATAATTTGCTTAGAGGTCACCAGAAAATTCAAAGGGGTTTACTATAGAGACACAAGCAAAATCATAGATGCATATGGGGAAACTCATTGATCTGTTCACTGTAGGGAACATTGAAATCATTGAGAAATGAGTTTTTTTGTTTTTTTTAACTCCCAGGTTCTCCAGCAGTTTTTGTTATACCATGGGCAGTCACTCGGCGCTTGCTGGAAAACGATGGGTAAGCTATCAGCCGTGTTTGAGAAAAAGAGATAAAGGGATCATGCTTGCTACAACTCAATGCTTTGGCATTCAGAAAGGAAGCTTTATGGGTGTTTCAAAGGAGATCCATATTTCTCAAATTGGGTGGAGGGATGAGGGAGGAAGATATTAGGAGATAGGAGAACTCTAATATGTCCTTGGAAACATGAGCTGTGAGACTCCAAATAATTTGTTTGGAAGTGGTGACAGAGTTCTATGATGGGCTGGACCACCTTCCTTCAATTCCCAGGCTCTCTTCTCATTATCTCCCTTCTTAGCTAATCTTTAAAATAGGCTGTAATACCAGAGGGGGGCCAGGATTGCAGGACTTCAAATAGTCATTCAATGGTTTGGTTTTTTTTCTTAATCCTATTTTATTTTTCATTAAACAAACATTTATTTTCTCTCCCTTCCACCCACTGGAAGAAGGAAAAAGAAAAACCTCTTCTAATAAATATTTTGCCTGACTCTGGTTTTAATAAACTAAAGGCTAGTTTTCTCCATTTCCTACTGAGTCCTCCCTCTGCACCCCTCCCTCCCCCATCTGGGCTTTTAAGATTCTTGTGATGCCATGAGGGACATTGCAGTTGGCATAGTTATTTGTTAGTGGCAGTGACTGAATGGCCAACCTTGGATTCTTTTGGGGATGTAGGAGGGGTGGCGGGGGTGTAGGGGCGGGAATGTGAGGCAATCTGGGAGGGTGGCAAGGGAAGGGGAGATAGGAGTGGAGGTGCTGGTATGATCAGAAAGTTTGAGAACACCTGCTGTGGAGAAATCTTGACTCTGTCCCCATCACTGAAATGCAGTCAGCCCGTGAACAGTTTCTCTGGGCCCCATCAAGGGCTGCGACTGAGCCAGGTTCTTGGGTCCTGACAGAACCTACCCTGGTTCAGGGAGCAGGGGAACGCTCCAACCAAGAAGTTTCTGTACCAGCTGAGGTCAGATGGGCCAAGGTCAAGGCCCCAGATATATCTTTCTTTTTTCATTTATTTATTTAGTTAGTTTTAAACTTATGAACTAAAGCAAACATTTCCATCACATACTATAATTAAAAAAAAGATGATTGTGAAATCTTATTGGATTTTCACGAGAACCCCATGAGGAAGGTGTAATCATTATCCCCATTTTACAGATAAGGAAAGAGAATCTGAGAAAAATTAAACAATTGCTTGTAAGTGTCAGAGATAAGACTTGAACCCAGATCTTCCTAACCCCAAATCCAGTGTTTCCTTCCCTCCCCTATGCTGCCTGCCGTTCAGCCCTGACTTCTAGTTTCTCCAGCTGGGAAGCTCCCAGTGCCCACAGGAACAGGCAGAGTAGCTCCGTGTTTGGGGTACTGCCACGCTGACTGCAGCTTCCAGCTCAGGGCCGCAGAAACGTTCCACAGGTGGTATGGAAGAGCAATTTGGGGAAAACAGCATGGTGTAAAGGAAAGACTGATTAACTTGCAGCTAGGTAGCACAATGGCTAGAGCACTGGGCCCGGAGTCTGGAAGACATAAGTTCAAATCCAGCCTCGGATACTTACCAGCTAGGTGACCCGACAAGTCACTTAACCTCCGCCTCAGTTTCCTCAACTGTGAAGCGGGCTTATAATAGTACCTATCTCGGGGTTGTTGTGAAGATCCAATGAAATATTTATAAAGTGCTTAGCAGAGTGCCCAGCACATAGTAGGTGCTTTCTTTCCTTCCTTCATTCTTTCCTGCCTTCCTTCCTTCTTGTCCCAAGAACTAAATTCGAATCCTGGCTCTGGTCGCTATGGCTAATCATTCAACTTCACCAGTTCTCAATTCCCTCAGCTGTATAATGAGGGGGTTGGGGTAGATGACTTCTAATCCATATCCAGATGCCTTCCAATTCCAGATCTACGATTCTATGAAACCTATTCTTTCCTCATCTGTCTTACCCTGACAACAAATACAATAACAACAATCTACACCAGCCTCAACTGTGTGCTTCTTTTAGGTGCTGGGACATTAATGCCAACCCATTCATCTGGTGGATCATTCGGGGACCTATAAGTGTCTCCATCCTGGTGAGTTGCCTTCTTACCTGAAGCCTGATTCTGGGATGAAGTGGCCCAGGCAGGATACTGGAGTAAATCTACCAGTTTGCCTAGACTGACTGAAATGGGGCCCAGGGTTTAGAGGACTGTTAGGTGGAAAAGGGATTATTCTTACTCAGGATGGTTCCAGGCTAGTCAAGACACATACTGAGTGTTGTGAAGTAAGGGTCAGGGGGCCTAAGGGAACAAAAGGAGGGTTTGAATTGGGGGCCAGATGGAGGTATAAAAGGATTAGCCTTCATAATAGTGTTACATTCAGTGCTTGATACCACATTTTAAGAGGGTCACTGATGACCTAGAGTCTATCCAGAGGAAGGACACTAGGAATGAGGTCTGAAAACCATGTCATAATGGACCAGGGGATGTTTAGCCTGAAACAGAGAAGATATGGAGCCATGATACTCATCATTAGATATTTGAAGGGTTTTCATACGAAAGAAGGAATAGATATAATCTTTGTAGTTCCTGGAGACAGAATACATTTGGCTGAATTGCTTCACGAGTATTTAGAAAGAGAATTAACTATGGCCAGCCTGCCATTTACTTTTGATATTGAGAGGAGCATTAATGACTGGGTTTTCATGTGTATCTTTGTTGGAAATTACTTCCTGGGCAAAGACACATGGAGGGCATTTGATTCAGAAGGAAACAATTCCCTCTGAAAACCCATCAATGTGGCCCCTCCATCATCAAAAGGGCCCAGTGAAAAACCTTGGCCAGGCTGACTCATGGGAGGATAGAGATTAAAGAGGTCAGTGAATGTCTTTGAGAAGCTAAGACTAGTTCCATCTGGTTTTCTTAAAGAAGATCTGGGTTATCTTTTAAAAGGTATCTTGTAATTTTGTTACTTTCCCCTCTCTTTTCCTCTACAATTACCAGCAAGAAATCCCCTTAGAAAACCTACAAGAGGATTGTGTGTTTATTCCAGAGATGGATAAATATTTTTTGAGCTCTTTGTAAACCTTAAAGTACTCTATAAATGCTAGCTCTTATTATCCTTAAGATGGTAGGGCAGGGTAGGTATGGGTGGGACAGGAGAAAGACCACTGGACTTGGAGTCAGAAGTCTGCCCTGCTGAATTCTGCTTCTTTGCTCAAGTCTGTTTAGCCTTTAAAGGCTAATGAAGTGGAAAGAGCACTGGACCTAATGTTGGAAGACTCCATTCTGAGTCCTAATCCTAATTAGCTCTAATACTAGCTGTGGGATGACCCTTTAGTTGTATGAACCTATGTGATGAGCCTCAGTTTTCTTGTCTATAAAATGATGATAATAATAGTTCCTATTCATATATCACTGTAAGCCCCATGGAGTACTTCGCATACATTATCTGATGTGGTCTACTGACAACAAAGCTATAAGGTGAATGCTATTAGTGTCTCATTTTACAGATGAAGAAACTGAGGCACTGAAAGGTTAAATGATTTGCCTATGTTCACACAAGTGCCTGAGGGAGAAGTTGAGCTTACATCTTCCTGACTCTAGACCCTGATGCGCTATCTCCTGAGTCACATTAATTCTCTTGTGCCTACAAGTTCTTATAATAAAGTGTCTTGTAGACCTTAATGTACTATGTTGTTGTTGTTCAGTCATTTCAGTTGTATCCGACTCTTTGTGACCCCATTTGTGGTTTTCTTGGCAAAGATACTGGAGCAGTTTGCCATTTCCATTTCCTACTCATTTTACAGGTGAGAAAACTAAGGCAAACAGGATTAAATGACTTGC